GAGGAATTCTTCATCGCAGGAAACAAACTGAGGGGTGCTGGAGTGGGGGGTGGGGTGGGAGGAATGGGGTGACTGGGTGATAGACACTGGGGAGGGTATGTGCTCTGGTAAGCGCTGTGAATTGTGCAAGACTGTTGAATCTCAGATCTGTACCTCTGAAACAAATAATGCAATATATGTTAAGAAAAAAAAAGAAGAAGAAGAAGAAGGTAGCAGGAGGGGAAGAATGAAGCGGGGGAAATCGGAGGGGTAGACGAACCATGAGAGACAATGGACTCTGAAAAACAAACAGGGTTCTAGAGGGGAGGGGGGTGGGAGGATGGGTTAGCCTGGTGGTGGGTATTGAGGAGGGCACATTCTGCATGGAGCACTGGGTGTTATGCACAAACAATGAATCATGGAACACTTCATCTAAAACTAATGATGTAATGTATGGAGATTAACATAAGAATAAAAAAAAATTAATTAAAAAAAAAAAGGGACAGGCTGACCCGTTTTAGTCCTCCGAAGGCTCCTCTTACAACCAAGTCCAAACCTCTGAACAGGGACCCCGTCCTCGCAGGCAGATTCTGGGTCTTGTCCATTGTTGGGTCCTGACACAGGGCCAGGCCATGGGTGGGTACTCGACCAACGTTTGTTAAGTGAATAAATGAGGCTGGGGTTGTTCACACTACAGGGCAGCCTTGTGACATCATAATGCAGACCCCCGTGCCCAGGAAGTGGTCTTGGTCTTTTTGAAGAATCATCATCGGTGAATCTAGCTAGAATCCACTACAGCCTCTTAACTGGACTTAATGAAATCCCCAATAGTTTTTTTTATTATTTTTTTAAGATTTTATTTATCTATTTGAGAGGGAGAGAAAGAGACAGAGAGAGAAAGCACGAGTGGGGAGTAGAGGGAGAAACAGGCTCCCCGTTGAGCAGGGAGCCCGACACGGGGCTCGATCCCCAGGACCTGAGCAGAAGGCAGACGCTTAACCGACTGAGCCACCCAGGCCCCCCTCCCCAACAGTTTTTACATGCTGATGAGCTAAGTCTTTTTAAAAATGTCAAGTAAACACGACAGTACATAAGTACATATGACTAATACCAAATTGCTAAGTGTTTGTCTGGTCCACAGCATAAGTCCAGCCGTACTTGGGATGGATGCGGGCAGACAGTGAGAAGTACAGTTCGAACTCTGTGACCTCGGGCAGGTATCTGAGCAGCTTTAAGCCCCACCTAAAAATGAGCCTGCTTTGTTGGCCTCATGATGTTATTGTGAAGACAGGCTGAGGACTCGCCGGAGGGCTGTCCAAACCTCAAGTGCTGTGCACAAATACAGGATTGTGACAATGACCAGAGAAGGCAACTTCCCACTGGCTGGAGCCCTCATCACTCCCCTCTCCTACAAGAGGCTGGGGGGTACACTGGGGTTATCTCAGTTGTCCTTATTCTTTTCCAAAGGGGGTCTGGGATGTGGACATGCAAACCTGCTGTCCAGATCATCTGCCTGAAGTCATCCGTCCCCATAAACAGAGGCAAGAAGATGACTGGGCCAGATGTTTTAGAACTCCTTACATAGGGAGGGATGTTGGACTTGATCTCTGAGGTCCTATCCAGGGATTCTTTGAGATTCTCTGACTCCACGTCCTTTCCCTTGGCAAAAGTCAGTTTTAAACAATGGCACAGATTCTAGTGAAATTGGGTAATTTCTAGAAAATCCGTTTCTGGAAACTCCCGGGAAGCCAAGCCTTCAGGCTGAGTACTTTTCCTTCCCAAAAATAAAAGTGCAAAAGAAAAATAGTACTGTTAATTCAGGCAAGAGGGCAAATAGCCTAACCCCCATGGAAGTCACATGCCCTTCTCTCCCCAATGGACTTCCAGAACCGGGAGGCTGGATACACCCAAAGAAGGTACAGTGTGGTCCTTGCCTGGGGCCCAGCTTTGCCCATTGCCAGTATGTGAACACTTTTTTTGACTGCCTCTTGGGCCCAGGACATGGGAATCAACTATTTGTCATTTGGTCCTTGCTTTGTGAGTTCAGGCCCTCTAATGAGCCATTCATTCATCCATCCACTCAATATTGAGAACTCTCTCTGTGCCAGGCACTGTGCTAAGTGCTCAGATAGACACATTCGTGAGACAGCCTTGTTCTCAAGTACTTCAGCTTCTGTGGGAAACCATCAAGTAAATAATTATAATGTAACATGTTAAGATAGGGGTCCATGGGATACCATGAGCTTGTACTGGATATTATGGGAATTGTAGAAGATGGGCACTCAGCTGGGCTTAGGGGTTTTGGAGGAGCTTCTCTTGAGACGAACATGAGTTAGCAGTGGTGTGCTAGGTAAAGGGGAAGTGCAGGGAACAAGGGAGGGGAAGGGCATTTCAAAGGGAACAGAATGAGCAAAGGCCTAGAGGTGACCCGGATGCGGCCAGGACCTGTATTTCCACATCCGGGGTAGAAAAGCATAAAACCAGGATTGATGGGCAAGGAGGTGGCACAGGGATCAGTCTGGGAGGGCCAGAGTTCAGGAAGAATGAAGGAAAGAGGAGTGATAGTGACACAGTAGCTCAGTGAATATTCGAGTACCGGTTAGGGGCTAGCCTTATGATTAGTGCCAGCTCAAGTTCCTACAACATCTTGGAAACCTCCCTAAAATTCTCTATACCTTGGTACAAAGAATTTCTGTCCACCAACATTTAGTACACAGTTGGTGCTCAATCAATGATGATCGCAGCCCCTCTCTGCCAGGGAGTTGTTATTGCCTACACAATGTTCCTCGAATGACACAGCCTTCCATTCACAGGACAGTCATCTTTGTGTCCTGAAAAAGGGCCCATCCCTGCAGCTGACATCCACGTGCCACATCGTTTAAAGCCTTCTGCTCCCTGAGACCCGCCTGAGGAAGGCTGATTCTCTCTTGGCTCTTTGCTTTGTGAGGAAAGTGATTTTCAGGCTCACTCCCCTATCCACAGCAATTATGGGAAATAAATTGAAGTGTAAAAACGGGAGATGGCTAGCAGATGGGCCAAAATGAAGTGATGCCTGGCTACCAGCACCCAGCTCCCTGGAGTGTGAAATGAACGCGTGTGTTCAGACCCAGGCAGAGAGGAGGGAGCTCCTGCCTCAAGCCGGGGGGGTGCCTGCACCCAGGCACCCAGGATCCCTCGGTGGCTCCACTGGCCTCCACTGGGCGTCTCGACCCACAGATGAGGAGAGCTTGGAAATACAGGACCTTGAGAGGTTAAAGGAGAACTTGTTGGTTTTCTGCCTGATTATAAAAATATGTGCTCATGGTGAGAAACTTGGCCAACAGAACGAGAAGAAAAGCAATCCAGAGCTTTGCACCTTGACATTATAGTCCTCTTTATCCTCCAGTTAAATTTCCCCACTGTTATGGTCAGCTCACTGGGCTGCAATGTCCGGTCCCTGATTATGCCCCTGGCACCTAAAAACGGGCGGCGCACAGGACGCCACCCCGGGCCTGCATCCATGGCCCCTGCCCAAATTGCTTGCCCAGTGGTGGCTCCCTTCATCCTCTGGGTTCAGCTCCAAGGTCAGTCCTCCTGATCTTCCTGGACCCCTACCCCATCCCTGCTACCTACCCCAGTGGATTTTCTCTGTTCTGGAAGCGACTTCCATCTGTATTATTTTGTTTCTTGGTTGCTGTCCCCCCTCCCCCCAGGAGTCTGAGTCTGAGGGTAGCTTCACTCACCTTAAGGCCCTCAAGAGCACAGGATCTGTTAACCAGTAGGGGCTGCATAGTTATGAGTTAATGAGGATGTAGCCCATCCATCTGGGTTTCTAGTAGTTCTGTAGCATGAACATGGCAATGAGGAACACAACCTATATTTAAATGCTCAGGGAGACCTGCCTACCATTTTTTTCTTGGAATACCCCATATATAAACCATTCTGTGTGTGTGTGTGTGTGTGTGCGAGCCTGTCCCAGCACTCCGGAAAGGGTCAAAGTACTGAGCGAGGGGCTTGGATCTCATGCCCCTAACTCATTCTTCAGCCTTGGGTAAATTCCAAGATCCCAGGACCTGACTTTTTCCCTGTTTGTGAAACCAGTTAAGAACTTTACTTGATGTGGTAATGAGCCCCAAACAAGATAAGATCCTGCAACTCTTCAAGAGTTAAAAGAAATAGTGAAGAACCATCACCCGCCCCCTCCCCAACACACACACAGCCCCCCACCCCCCCACCCGGAAAGGCCACACTCATTTTCAGTAAAGCCCCAGAGAGGGTCACTTGGAGATTCAGTGGCCCCGGACTGCACAGGGTGGGAGTGGGGCTCGGGCTGCTTTTCCTTCCCTCCCAGAATCTGGAGTCATCTCTGGACGGGATCCCCAGGGAAAAGGTTTCCAATATCAAAACCCAGGAAAGAAGTCCTTCCTGCTACGGCTCCCCAATCTGGAGGCAGACGAAAGAGACTCCCCCTAACTCCATCTCTGCATTCTTTCGCCCCCTACCCAGGTCCTCGCCGCTCCCCCAGACGCCCCCAGGGGCGCCTGGCCTCAGCCCGGGTCCCTCCCCTCTGCAGGGGTGGCCTCTCGGAATCGTGCGGAGCCAGGGGACCTGAGGTGGAGGGGTGTCTGCGGGGGTCGTACCCCGCTCGGGGGTGCGCGGAGGCGCCGGCAGCTGGGTGGGAGGGGGACCCGGCGCTGGGACCCGCGGGCTCACCCCGGCTGGCGTCGCCCCGCCCACCGGCCCCTGAGACATCACAATCTGGGGGCCGGGACCCCGCGCCTCATCACCGCCCGTTTGCAACCAAACAATCCACCCAACAAGCACCCCCGGGGGGGGGGAAGAAAAAAAAAGAAACCGGCCCGAGCCCAGCCTCCCTCTCCCCCCCTCCGCCCCGCCCCTCGCCCCCCGGGGCCCCCGCCTCCGGATGGGGGAGTGAGCGCCAGCCGGGCGCCCCGCACCCGCCGCCCCGCGCCCGCCCGCTGCCCGCCCGCGGCGGGGGCGGCCCGACCGCGCGCCCGCCCCGCCCGCCGCCGCCCGCCGCCGCCGCCGCTCCGGCTCCGCGGCGCCCTCGCCCGCCAGGCTCTCCGCCCGCCGCCCGCGCCCGGCCCCGGCGCCCCGGCCCGCCGCCCGCGCTTCATGGCTGCGCACGAGTGGGACTGGTTCCAACGCGAGGAGCTCATCGGGCAGATCAGCGACATCCGCGTCCAGAACCTGCAAGGTAAGGCGCCCCAGCGCCCCCCAGCCCCCTCCGGGGACGGACGCCCGGTCGGGTGGCCCCGGGAGCCCCGGCGCCGCTCCCGCCCGGGACAGCGCCGCCCCGCGCCGCCCCCTGACCCCGCCTGACCCCGCTCAGGTCGCCCGCTGGGGGGGGAGGGGGCTGAGACGGCCACCCCCCCCACCCCGAGCCCCCAGCGGGGCCTCCCGGCCAGATTCGTGGTCGCCCAGGGGGTGGGGCGGCACACGTGCGTGTGTGTGTGTTGGGGGGGTCCCGCTTTCTTTGGGGGGGACGTCACGACTCCACTGCAGCCACTGCTGCGAGTTTGGCCAAGTTTGAACGTGTGGGCTCTTAGGGGCAGTGGCCCAGGTCAGGGAGGGAGGAGAAAGTGCGACTGCGTGTGTGTGTGTGTGCGCGCGTGTGAGCTTGCACACCTCCCAAGTACCTCTGAGGCTGGGGGATTGGAGCGCGGGGCGGCGCATGAGGGGGTGGGCTGGGGACCAGCGCCCGGGGGCGCGGATCCGGGGGCTGGGCGGGCTCAGCCACTGGCCACAGGGAGCGGCCCCTCCTCTGGCCCCGGGCTCCACTGGGGAGGGGGCGACAGGCCCCGCCCCCTGGACGCCGGACGCTGGGACCGGCGCCTACCTTGACACAAGGTGAAAGAGAAACTCGGGAGGCCCGCGCGTCCGACCAGGGCTGGGGGTGGCTCCCGCCACACACGAAGTGTATTAACCTTTCAAGAGTTTATTCATTGTGGAAACTTGGAAAGCACAACCATGTTTAAAGGGAAAAAGTCACCCACAACCACCGTCAAGCCCACCCACCCAAAGAAAGCTGCTTTTCCTGGAGGTGTATTTCTCGTCTCTCTCTTTGCATACGTGGGCTTTGCAGAACTAGACAGAGTTCCACTTCCGGCCTCTCTTCAGGCACAGAGACCTGGCTGGGTTGGGCTGGGGAAGTTTCTTTAGTTTCCTGGGCAGGCTTGGGTTTCTAGAGATTCCAAGGTGGGGGGCGCTGCAGAGAGAGCTGGGAGCCCTGGACAGAGAGATGATGGGGTGGTGGGTGCCCTCCTACTGGGTACCTGCCTTTACTGCTGGAGGGTAGGGAGTCCCAGCCTGGAGGGTGCAGGGGGGAGGGGTGCGGGGGGGGGTGGGGATGGCCAGGCAGTCAAGTTTAAACATTATACCTGAGAGACTGTTTCCTGGCAGCCCATGTGGACCTGCTCCACCCCTAGGCTATGCAAGGACAGTGCAAGCAAAGGTGACCTCACATGGGGTGAGGGAGCCTGGTGCAGTGGGCACTGGAAACTGAGTTTGCGCTGGGCTCCCCTGATCTCTTCTGGCTGTGATTTGTATAAGAGGAAGAAGATCAGGCTGGAGATGTTGCAAATGATCCCTTTTGATAATAAGCCTCGTATCTGGATCCTGTTGCCCCAGAACTGGCATCCTATTTGGGGGTGGGAATTAGCATCTCTTGCTGAGATGGCATGTGGTTTGGGCTGTCATGGTGTGTGTGTGTGTGTGTGTGCGTGTGTGTGTGTGTGTTAGGCAATCAGTGGGTATTTAATAAACACTTGCTAACCAATCCTTACTGCAGCAACTGCCTGCATGCCTCAAAGCCCAACTCCCAGTGTAAAGGGGATCGACTTTTGCGAAAGGGATGCTCAGCAATATGAGCAGTTACACCTGGAACTCTGAGAGAAGGCTTCACTACATGGGGACCATTTGAGATGGGTCCTGAAGGTTGGGTAGGAGTTCACTGAATGGGCTCTCCCCTCAGCTCCCAGTGAACTGTCCTCACTTTTAGGCAATGCCAGTTGAGCATCAATGGGCTTTGCCATTTAAAAAGATACGCTTTTAAATTTGTGTCGATATATATATATATTATGTATATATCACATGTATGGTTATATATGTGTAGAAAATGTGCATTAATCTTTGGTGCCAGCCCAACAAATTTTTACCTATGGATAACCCAGGTAACCACCATCCAGATCAAGATGTAGATGATTTCCAGTGCCCTGGATGGATGCCTCGTCTCCCTTCCCAGGCAGTGACTCCCTCCCCTGATACACACACAAACACACACACACACACACGGCAACTACTGATCTGAGCTTTATCACTATAGTTTTACCTCTAGAACGTCCTATAAAATGGAAGAGTACAATACATACTCTTTTGAACTGACTTGCTTTGCTCCGCATGATGTTGGTGCAATTCATCCATGTCCTTGCCTGTATTTTTTAAGAGGTTTTGTAGACTGCTTTATTAAAGTATAATTTACATATCATAAAGTCCACCTGATTTAAGTTTACAATGCAATAATTTTTAGCAAGTCGACAGAATTGGGCAAACTTCCCAACCATCCAGTTTCGGAACATTTTCACCACTTGAAAAAGCTCCCTGGTAGTTGGCATATATGCATCTCTCAGCCCTGGGCCCAGGCAACATGCAGTTCCTTGTTCCTGTGAAGACAGTTCTGTTCAGTGGATGCACCCCTCTTTGTGGGGCTGCTCATCGGCGAGGGACATTTGGGTTGTTTGCAGTTCGGGGCTATTGTGCGGCTGTTTGTCCTTGCGGTGGTGGGAAGGCATTTGCACTGTGGAGGTTCCTGTCGTGGCTTTGTGGCTGTTGGGGCAGGAATCCATCTTCTGTCCATTTCTCCTTTGGCTTCCCTGTCTTCGGACTGGATGCTTCACGGAGATTTTCTCTCCTCATCTCCGTGGTCCTCAGAAAGTCCCAACCGAAGGGCCAAGTCCAGAAGGCACTGCTCGCCGTGCTTTGAGCGTCTGCCCAGACCAGCTGGTCAGTGTCGCTGGGTCTGGACATGGGTGGATGACCAGCTCTTCAGGCCACAGGCAGGGGATGGGGGACCTTGCTCCTCCAAACTCCGCGTGGGTGGTAGTCAAGGAAGCAGGAAGAGTCCAGGCAGAAGGGTTGTTTTTTGAATAAAGCTGTGTGCTTGCTTAGAGCACAGGTAGTCAGCAGTTGTCGTGGTGATGGGAGGCTGCATACAGCGGGATTTCATGAATCTGTAATCCTAGGGACCAAGGAGGATGCCCAGCCTCCCATCTGCAGGTGGTGGTTGCTGTTCCGGTCAGGCAGTCCTCTTCTGTTCACAAAGCTTTGACTCTTGTGGTCCTGGGACCAGGCACTTGCCCCAAAATGTCAGTCTGGAGGACACTGCATTTCAGGGAAGAATAGCTCAGTGGCATGCCCGTGTGTTTACAGGCATGGTATGGTGGCCTCTGCTCATTTGCTCCTTGAAGCCTTTATCTATGGCCCTGAACTGTGGGGTTCTGGAGTCCAAGCAGATACGATTGTGATGTCACCCGATCATCCCCCGCGGACCGCTGGAACGAAGACTTACTTCCTGGCCTGTCTTTGGAGACCGGGGTGAGCCAGGCAGAAAGCATGGTCTCTCCCAGGAAGTCTGTCCCTCAGCTTGCTGTAGCTGCCACAGGGGCAGATGAAGTCCTCATTGACTCTGATGGCTCATAAAGCGTTTGTTAATGAAGGGCAAGCTGGTAGAGAGCACGGGTGTCCCTCTGGGCCAAGGCTGCCAGTGCCACCCTCACGGGGTCCCTTTCAGGGAAATGGAGGTGGCCCAAGCAGTCGACCAGAGAGGAGAGAGCAGAGTTGCAGGATGTTGGCAGCCTCCACCTGGTGGCCCCACTTCCCTGGAGCTTTGTGGGGTAGCCCTGAGGTCAGAGGTGGTCAGTGAACTGTCTGTGCCTTAGTTCTTGGCCTGGCTGCGGGAGGCAGGGGCTCCCGGTGCCTTTCCCATGACAAGTCTACTTTGGCTGTCCCCTGTCCCTCTTTGACTTGGCCTCAGGGTCCAGCTGAGTGCTCCAGCGGGTCTGACTTTTGGGCAAAGGGGAGGGTGGGTGTTGGGAATCTGGTAGGAAGCCTCCACCATCCTCAGAATTCCCCATACTTTTCTGTTTTTAACAAATGTGTGCAGACAACAAGAAATGTAGTTGGTCCTTGTTCCTGCCTTTAAAGCAGCATGAAGCTAGACTGGGGCTCAAATGTTCTCCTTCCGGCCGTCTCCTACTGCTCCAGCGCCCTGTTCCGCCTGATGCGGTGAACCTTGACCTGTGAAGCTTGGCCAAGATCCGGTCCCCAGAGCTCGAGGTGGATCCGGGCAGGCAGGAGACCATCCCCACTGCTGCTGTGGCTGGGGGTGGGGGTTGGGTGGCGCCCACCGCTGCCAGCTGGCCCTGCTGGCTGGTCCTCCCTGAGCTGTGTCCTCACCCCTGCCTCAGTGTCTCCCTCCGTCAGAACGCGCTGGGAAGCCATACTGCCCCGGGTTGACACACACGAATTGCAATTTGGGGCCCTTGGAATTGACTGCTAGACAGAGGTGGTGCCGGGCACGGTGCTAACTGCCTCCTTAAGGTTTCCCACAGGCCTTTGAGGTGGGGTGCTTGTTTCGGAAGTGGAGAAGTCAAATGACCTGCCCACGGTCATGGGCTTCTGAGTGGAGCTGGGATGTGAACCCAGGTCCCACTGAGCCCATGCGTCCTGTCGCACTAGCTCCTCGGATCGAGTGTGACGGGCGTCCCCGGGAGGACGGAGCTGGGCAGGCCTCTCAGAGGAGGGGCCGTTGGGAGTCAGGCCTCGAGGGCTGAGCAGAATGTGACTGCGTGAAATCCCCATTTCACAGCATCAGAAGCAGGACGGTGGTGAGGAGAACCTGAAGGCAGGCTCCGGGCGGGACGGTGCCTGTGTGGTTAAAAAGATCAGCCCTTGCCGTGTTCTCCACCCCCTCCTCTGATTCCCCTGGCTCAGCTCCAGGAGCAGTCCTCCCCGTGCTTGCCTGGACTCTGTGGTCACCTCTTTATGGCTCTGGGCCTTGAGTCACTTCTTCCCATGTAGCTACCACTCAGCCACCCCTCACGAGTCCCTGCTAATCTCTTCGGTGGGTCTCCACGGCCAACCTGTGGGCTGAGGGTGGCCCCTGGGTCCATCATGGTCCACGGACGTCACAATGTGAAA